ATATTAGGAGATACAAGGTGTGACAGAAAAACACAACGAATATTTGAATTCAAAAAAAAAATCCTTCTAGTCCTGGGAGTCCTCTTTTGTATCTTTAGTCCCACTGTCAAGGCTGCCTTGATGTCTTGAAGTGATTCAGAACATTTGCCTTTCGTGGTCATTTTGACTTTGAGGAAGAGCCAGAAATTGCTTAGTGCCAGTGAAGACACACCACATGTTTTTGAGTCCACCTTTCTGTTGGATGGTGCTCGGCAGCTGTATTCACCGCGTTCTTTATTGTATCTCACAAAAAACTCACCAAAGAGGACTTCCATAACTGCTTCAGAAAGTGGCAGGAATGATGAGACAAGAGGATTTTGAAGGGGAATCAATGGCAGTGTGTCTTTTACTATAATAATTTTTTTTTAAAGTAGCCATTCAGTATATATTTTGATCACCTCTTGTAGCTAAGAGACCAGCAAAGTTATTTAACAAATGTGCTTCACATAATACATGTTCACCCAATTAAGATATATAATTCAATGATTTTTAATAAATCTACAGTGTGTGCCATCATTACAGTCCAGTTGTAGAACATTTCATCACCCCCCCCAAAGAAACAATCCCATTAGCAGTCACTTTCCATTTCCTTCCACTGCCTCCACCCTCAGCACTCACTGCTCTCCTTTCTTGTCTCTGTAGATTTAGCTGGTCTGGACATTGATATATATGGAATCATAATACACAGCACGACCTATTTTACTATTTTAGGAAAATATGAAACATGTTTATGTCTACATTGTGAATTAGGCCATTGATCTCATTTAATTTGGGAGCAAAATTGAGATCCTTATATGTAGAAAAATCTAAATTCAGTGCTACAGTTTAGTTTGGTCTTGTAGCTGCCTAGCTATCTCTGGAGCTCCTCTGTTTAGAACGGTTTTTTATCTTCCACCAGTGGGTGTCAGCATCTGACTAAACATGACTCCTCTGTTCTCTCATAAATAACTTGGCAGCCACTCCCACCCTCAGTGCCAACAGATGATATTTGCATCTTGTGCAGGTTTTCACCACCACCTCACAGTAAAAACCTGTAACAAATCACATTAACCATATATTATTTTTAGATAGCTTTAAAGGATTTTGATGTTATTATCTTTAGTGCATTTGGATGCTGATGCTTTCAAACATATTTCAGCTTACTCACCCAGTTTATGAGTTACATGATAGAGCTTGTGTTCTTAAAGCCTTGAGTAAGGAATGGATTTGAATTTTTATGCGGTAACATTTTAATGACCTCTGCTACCAAATATAGAGATGTTAAGACTGTTGCTCTGATGAGTCTTGTCATTTGATTAGCCTTGTCACGGGTAATCAATTGCATTAGGCAATTAAATACTGAAGCGTTAGTTTGTTTAACAAGTTTTATGCTGACAATTTTTGCCTTCCATTCTTGTAGGATATCTTGTAGGTAGTGAAGATTACTACTCCCATGAGCACTGCGCATTTATTGAGCCTTTGAATGTCACACGGTGTGCTCTTGATTTTCGAGATGGTGAAGAAGTTGCAACACAGTATAAAAACCTGTATTCAGCAAACCTATTTACCAACAGGGCTACGTCCCTCATAGCTAACCATCCTACAGGAAAGGTAAGTCTTGTTTCTTTTTTCTTTTTTGGTACTGGGGATCAAACTCCAGCCCTTGCGCTTGTGAGGTAGGCAGCGGAATCACTGAGCCAACTCCCTGGCCCCGCCAAATCCCTGGCCCCCAAGTCTTGTTTTTTCAATGACACCAAAAACTTGTTTAGATAGAAAAGACCACTGTTGTTTAGGGAAAATCTAATAAATTCTGGAGGGGTTTATTTTTCAAATTTTAGAGTGCATCAGAATCAGCTTGGGATTCTTGTTAAAAATGGAGATTCCCGGAGCCCACCTCTAAAGGCATGCTTTTTAGGAATGGGAGAAACCATGTGTTAACACTTTGAAAGAAAATCTCTAAAAGGAGATTCTGGTGAGTACTTCCCAGGTCACATCTGAGCAATCCTGTGTCTACAGTGTTTCAGTAGAAATAGAATTGCGTTATTTTGATGTGTTAGATGCGTGTCCATTAAATAATTGGTAAAAAGATATTTTCCTTTTAACAGTTAATTTATGTGCAAAATAAGGTTTCATTATCACAGACTTTCTGTTAGGAGATCCACAATTTTAGATTCAGGGCAACTCCCATGACTTTACATCCTCTCCTCCAAGATTACTTTGGATAATCTAGATTGTTTGCATTCCCGCGTTAATTTTACAATCAGCCAGTCAATTTCTAAAAAGGAATAAAGAATAAAAAGGTGCCTGCTTTCATCTGGGCTTCATGGAAGCTGTGTACCAACTTGGGAAAAATGGTCATGTTAATGATATAGTCCTCCAGTATCAGTGAGCCTGTTTTTCATGTTTACCATACTGCAGCTGTTTCATGTGCTGACTTATCTATAAGTAAAAGTAGAAGAGTCTTAAAGTCACTTTCTCCAGATTTAGCTTATGAGTACTTCTGCAGTGGGCAGGTCTTGTCAGACACTGAACTTGGGATAGGGCTTTGTGGAAAACCGTATATGCAAACTCACACCCCTTCTCTGGACCCTGGCATAGATTGCTTCATAATGTGCCATGTTGTCTGGTTCTTCCAGTGTCCTGCACTTTTCTGTCAGTTCCCACCCCCGCCCCATGACTCTCTGTTGGGTGTGAGACCTTCTGGCTCTGCCTTTGCTTATGCTAACTTGCTATCAGGGATCTTCATGCTGTCTGTCCTTAGCTTTTCCCTACTTTGGGGTTTTTATCAGCCTAATGCTAACATCTTGGCCCAACTAAGCCTGCTCCAGAGCTTATGCCCTCAGTTGGCCTTTCTGCTTCACAGCTAATATCCAGAACCAGAGATTCTGAGTCTCAGTTTATGACTGAATTTAATGCCTCCATTCTTGATCAGGTATTAAAATCATTTGGGAAACATGTAAGAGATACTGATACCAAATATTGTGGTCCAGGTCTGAGGTGGGGTTCAGTCATTGTCATTACCCCACCAGTGATTGTGATGTTGGACCACTGTGGATACCTTGCAGGTAAGGACATTCTGTGATGTGTTGTCCAGGGCACAGCCCCAAACACAGAGGCAAACACATGCCGGTGATGACCTCTTAAAGTTTCACAATCTAACAGTACCTTAACGAGGCTGTAACTATAACCTGCCTACAGTAAATTCATTCTAGTAGGAATGATAGAGTACTCAGTACTCAGAAACCCCATAACATTTTGTGGGCAAGAGGAGGCAGCTGGGGTGTACCAGCTCTTGTGAGTGGGCTGTCTTAACTGGGGGATGGGGAAAGCGCCAATGCTGAGGACAACAGGATGCCCTAGAAATCTGCAGAGCATGGAAGGAGTGTGGTTAGTGTAATACCGCTTACAGCTAGCATCACGGAAATCCCCAGATGAGAGCATGGTCACTTTCCTAGCATCTGAAAGAATCTGAGGCAGGATCCATCATTCCAGATATCCTCAAAGTAAAATCTTAAGGACAGACATAAAAGAATAAACTTATCAGTTGTTGAGTTGTGTCTTAGTTAACTTTTTCTCATTGCCAAGACAAAAATACCTGACATCCAAAGTTAAAGGAGGAAAGTTTTATTGTAGCTCATAGTTATAGAGATTCAGTCTATAATTGGCTGGCCCCAAGGCAGGATGGGGCAGAGGGGCTTCACAGAGGAGAAGCAGTTCATGGCGGGTAGAAGGTAGAAAAGCAAACAAGCTTCTATCCCTTCTTATGCCCTTAATCCTAGCATTGCACCATGAATCAATCCCAGCGTCATACACTCTAGATCCAGCCACCTCTGAAAAGCCCCACCTATGACCGCATGAAGCTTTGGTGGGGGGCGCTTTAGACAGAAGCCATAATAAGCAGTAACCCAAACATATTTGCTTAAGGGAGCTCCTGCAGATGTTTACATTGTCAGTGCTCAGTAAAATGATGCACTTACCAGGTTCCGGGAGGTGCCTTTTTCTCCATCTTATCCAGTATTTAATCTAATGCTGTATGAATTTCTCAGGTGCTATTTATAAACAGTAATTTAAATATGTATTCTAAGATGGAAGTCATTACTGTAAAGAAATACATGGTGAGTATTTACAGGCCAACTTAACGTTGCTCCTGTTAGAAGAGGGCATTTGAGGGGAAGAAGCTCATGAGTTGTTTTATGATGATGCAGTTGCTGATACTGAACTCAGGAACACAGCTTACAGTGACTTCCCATGTGTGAGGAGTGGATTTGCTTTCTCCTTTTCTACAAGGTTCTTCCCATAGTAACATTACAAAGTGAAAGTTACATATTCATAACATATCTTCCTGTTAAAAATAACCTCACACATGATGGTACATGCCTGTAATCCCAGCATTATGAGAGGCTGAGGCAGGAGGATTGCAAGTTCAAGCCCAGCCCAGACAATTTAGCAACTTAGTGAGACCCTGTTTCAAAATTTAAAACAAAAAAGAGCTGGAGATAGAGCTCCATGCAAATGCCTGAATTTCAATCCATAGTACTACAAAAACAAACAAATTAAAAAAAAAAACCCACAGTACTTTGTAGAATAAAAACAAATATTATCTCACACACCTTAGCTATTAAAAGTTTTTTGAAGAAAATTTTAACTTCTAATGGAAGACTATTATTTTTCCTTAGCACACTTGGGGAAAAAATGTCTTCATTTGGACATCAAAGATAGAATACACTTTCAAAACTTACTTTCCCATTTATAGTTTAAATTAGGAAGATATATTAGCCTTCTCCCTCACTGATAAAAGGTTTCTCAGCATGGGGAGGATGCTCAGAGTGTGCGTCTTAGGAGCCCCATAGTATAAAGGAAAGAGAAAAGAGTCCTTAGCATCATAAACATGAATATGCTAGTAGCTTTAGGTGATAATGTTTGGCTTTTAATAATACTTAAGTATTTAGTCATGATTCTGCACCGAGTATTCCATATTACATTCCTAAGTCCCATGAAAGGGTGACAGGGTTAGAGTAAAGACAATAGCTTGGAGCTAGTTAATTTTTATTTTTACTGGACTACTATATGGTACTAAATACATTATTTTTTTCCCAGTTTAAAATACTTTAAAATTCTTCTATTTAGTACTGTTGGGGAATGAAGTTTCTGACTGAATGGGGAAGGTTTATTTTTTTAGAGTACTGTGTGGAAATATCTAAAATGAATCACACTGACCTTAACCTCTGACCTGGACTGCACCACACAAGTCTGTCACCCACACATTGAGTGGCCCTGGATGGTGCTGTTGAGATGAGAAGAAAAGGGTAACCTTTTTGCTCAAGGGACATCTTTATCTGTTCTACTAAAGTCATTAGCACTGGGCCCACAGGTAGTGCGAGGCTGTGTTGTCCTGAGACCATCGCCTGAAGGCTCCTCCTCACCTCTGAGAGGTGATCTTCATTTCCTAGACAGTTGTGTCCCTTATTTTTTAGTAATTAAAACTCTGACTGCTGGACCAGTGAGGACTGCTATAGTTTTATGTTTTTAACCCCTCAGGAATGATGCTACTGTCTTTAGCCAATAAGGAATAATTATGGGAAAGATTTCTGATTGCTTTTGTGCTACATTTGACAAAGTGAATAGAAGGCTCTCTATACTGAATATCTATAAGGCTCTTTAGTACTGATCCAGAACATATTTCCCTCACATGATTACAGAAACTGTACCCACCATCCTCCTCTGCCATCACTCTCTACTGTCAGTTACTGGCTGGGAATAACCTGCCCCCTTTGTTCCTCCTGTTCCTTCACTGCTGGGGTTGCCACATTGCTGCCAGCAATGTGTATAAGGGTGGGAAAAAGGATCTGGGCTGGTCTGAGAATTAAACTGATGTAAAATAAATTAATAGGAGAAAAGCATTATTATTATTATTTTATTATTTTTACATTAAGAAAGGAAGGCCCCAAAGAAGTTAGCTACATACTGAATTGGACAAAGAATAGTAAATATGAAAATGTGACTACATTTCATGGAAGGCTTAAAAGATAAAGAGTTATTTTAATGAGGTCTGTAGTGATTCTTTGTTTCAACTTCTTGTCCTTGAGGATAAGGATGTAGCTTTTTCTTTTAGAGTGTAAGGAGAGTATGTTTCACACAGGAATGTCATCTTTTCTTCTGACAAACAGCACAAAGGTCAAAGTGATCGTGTACCTGTGGGTTTTTTTATTAGTACATGTTTGCATACATAATGATTACAATTATTGTGGGGAGATTTTTAAAACATTTTTATCCCTACCCTTCCCCTCCATCCCTCCTCCTTCCAACTGTCAGTGCCCTTTCCATTCACAAAGCTCTATTTTCATTATTTTTCCCCATCCCCTTTCCCATTTGAGAAAAATCTCCCTAGTTCCTCTTTATCTATCTTCTGTTTTGCTCTTTAATGGCTAAATTTTGGAAACAGCCTATGCCCAGCAACAGATGGACAAGGAAGATGTGATATTAATACACAATGCAGTACTACTCTGCCATAAAGAAAGATTATCTTGAGATATTCGTAGGTAAATGAATGCACCTTGAGACCATAATATTAGGTGAAGCAAATTAGATACACTAGATTAAATATTGTATGG